GGTCAAAGAGGAAAAGAGCACAGGTGTCATTTGAGTTTGTGGACGCGATCCCGTTCCCGTTTGTACCACCACGTTGTCAGAGGAATTCAGAATGTACGCGGGTCCCTCATCTTGTCACAATGATCGTGGCGAATCATGGAGGATATAATAGCTTTAAAAAAGGGAAGGGAAACAACGTGGGCGAGCCACCTTCTTGAATTATGCTTATCCTTGATTGAACTAGAAAGATGTTTGAAGCCCCCAAAATGGTATTTTCGAAGGAGGCCGATGACATCATGATTGTCCGTCGGTCGATAGCATTCGTACACGATAGCTCAGAGAAATAGAAAAAAAAAAGAAAAAAGGACAAGATGGTTCACTAAATGTATTAAAATCATATTATTTATAAATGCCAAGATACGATGCCAGAATCATAATTAGCTATCATAGTACATGTAGTATAATATGACTACGTCATGTATTGTGCAACCGAAGACGGCTGACAGTGGAAACAGTGAGATGTGCTTTTATTGCTGGAACTGGGATTTAGCAATTCTAATCTAGAGAATCCAAGATCTATTTCAGTTTAATGCTTACGCGCTGGCAACTCTCTTGCTATCGCGTGGTTGTAGCTAAAGAGTGTAACATATAGCCTAAAGAGTAAATATGGTTAGACAAATTGGCTTTTCCCTTCTGTGCCGTTAGAACATCGCTCAATCCGAACTGCGAGGCTTTCGCCCCTCACCGTTAGGCCTAGGCTACCCACCCACCACCCACGCCAATAACTGACACACATAGCCGCCCATGCGGAAGCGAATCGTGGGATACACCGGCAAGGTGCGTGGTCACATGACCGAAAACGCGCGAGCACGCGTTGTACCGCGTTACCGCTGAGTTACCGGCCATTGGAGAGTTGTGTTCTGTTTGGGTTCGTGTGTATACGGATTGGAAGTTACACGCTGAAAGAAGTTGATTACCTGACCATTACATCATTATGAAGCAGACACGGAAGACTGTCACCACAACTTACTCTTCCTCATCAGGAGGTGGAGGTGGAGCTGGAGGAGAAGAAGCAGGCACGAGCTTCAGCAGCTCGTCGTCGCAAAGCCGACGTTCAGGAGGATTAGGCCGCCCGCCATCACCGGCCCGACTATCAAGAATTCAAGAGCAAGAGGAACTTCAAGGTTTGAACGATCGTCTTGCTGCGTATATCGACAAAGTAAGAAGCCTTGAAGCTGAGAATAGTCGTCTTGCTCTACAAGTTCGCTCAACAGAAGAAGTCGTGAAGAGAGAAGTCACCAGTGTGAAAACACTCTACGAATCGGAACTTGCTGAGCTACGCAGATTGTTGGACGAAACATCAAAAGAAAAGGCCCGATTGCAGATCGAAGCAAACAAATACAAGACGGATTATGAAGATCTTCTCGCAAAGTGAGTAGACTGTAGTTTTTGAATTATAATTCCTATTCATCGTAATCATGTGCCTGGTTTCCAATGTTTTTTGAATGCCTTGATCATTGAGATCTTGTAGGCGACAGAAAATCATTTCCTGTTTGTGTTCAGGAGGATACCGGTAGCGCCGGTCGCCGTGTCTTTCTAACCCCTCAATCTATTTTTAGGCTCATAGTACTCTGCATTGTCTAGCCTAGGGAAGCAAGAAAGGCAGAATTCGTGACTCCATTCATTGATCCTGATGCAGAGAACTTTGTTTTGATTGTGATCGTAGAGAGTTCTGACATCTGAAGTTAAGTCTTGATGTTTGATTTCATTCTCCTCAGCAGAGACCCATGATAAGTTAACTTAATCAAGGTGAGATTTTCACCTTCCGAGACAGGAGACTTCATATATGACGTACAGGACATAATAAATTCTAGAGGGATTAATGTTAATATAATATTTAGGCAAAGATCTAATTATCATTGATAAAATCTAGGCCTCGTCCTCGACCTGGACGATAATGTTGCCAGTCAGTCTAAGAATTTGAATGATTAGATCTTGCTAATGAGTGTTGACCAGTAGGGCCTATGTGGGACAATAGGCCCACCCTTAAAAATTCTGTCCAGCGCACTTAGATCTAGTTGTGTGGGGCAATGATACAGGTCCTAATAAATTTTAAAGATATTTATAAATCATTGAATGATAAGTTTCTACAATCTCTCCTGCTCACAAATCTGAGATACACCGGGCATTCATCATATTTTTGGTTGCAGAACAAGGTAAATTTTTACTTTCACTCCCGCACACAGATGCACTGTTTCAGGGGTCAAACTGCTGTACTGTTTGCTGCAGATCACACATAAAGCCACTAAAACTGTCGCAAATCAATTATTTTCAAGATAATTTCAAATCTAACTGTAAAATATCAAATTATGGGTGTAAAAACAGGGGGGCATGCCCCCCTGTAACCCCCCGATTGGTCCAAAGCATGTCTATCTCGGTTAAAAACAATCAAATATTTCAAAAATCATTAATTTGCGACGGAAATGAAGTTGATATTCGTGTTCAGCGCATCAATATTTAGTAGAAAATAGACAACTGGTAGCTGAGTGTGAGACGGGAGGGAAAGTAAAAAAATACCCAGAACAATATAGATCTAGATTCTAGATCTAGTTCTAGATCTAGATCTAGATCTAGGTAGGCCTTATTTAGGGGTGTTTATTTTTCTCGAAAACGCTAGGAAACACTCGAAAACACTAGGAATCACTCGAAATCACCTTTGTACCTTTGGATGAAATCATCATTTTAGTATCAGAAGGCAGCCTAGAATCGAAGATTAGGCTATGCTAGAAGGGAGTGTATAGCCTAGTCCTAGTGTATACAGACCCGGTAACCGGGAACAAAGTCACAAAGTATACAAACCCGGTAGGGGAACTCTTTTGTGATTTCGGAAAGTTTCAGCGCCCTCTTGGCTCAGGGTAGACCTAGAGTAGATCTAGGTCTAGATCTAGACAGACAGACATAAATCATTGATCTAGTTTCGAGGCTAGCGTAGATCTAGATCTAAATGAAGATTGCGGATGTCTTTTTTTCATGAATGATTGTTTTTCCTCCGTTTTGGAGTTGGAGGAATCACAATTTGAAGAAAAGAACAATGTCATAATTTCAATCGGGACAATCATAATTTCAATCAGGACAATCTCTCTCTCTCCTCTGTGTATCGCTCACCTTCTCTTTTTCTTTGTTTGTCTCTGTCTTTCTTTCTCCCCACCTATTTCCCACTCTAACTTTCTCTCGTTCTGGGTGGCAAAGACAATTTCGTTACGGCCATGAGACGAAAATCAAGGCTTTGGTAAGCGTCCGGGGGTAAGGTATCAAGGGATTTCGAGTGATTCCTAGTGTTTTCGAGTGTTTCCTTGTGTTTTCGAGAAAAATAAACACCGTTATTTAGAGGTTAAATGGCCACAAGAACTATCACAAATCAAGCTTTCAGGAAAACTCTATTTTAATTTTAATTGCAGACAGATGTTTAACTTCAAAACAACACATAGAAGGCGAAGGCATTTCAATTTAATACATGATAAATTTTATTTTTTTCTTAGTTCCAGGCTGGGAACCGTGTTTTTGTTTATATAATATATATATAATATTTATGTTTTGTTCAGAGTGAAAAAGCCTTCTTGAAGTCCACTGACACTGTTTCTACTATTGTTCGTGACATACTGACATGTTTTTTCTTCTGCAAAGTGAGCTATGAGCTGTAGATATTTTACAAGGATACAGCAACACAAGTAAAGGCAGTGTTGCTTCTTGAATTTTTTTTTCTGGACGTAGCAGTTATGTTCACAGCCTAAGACAAAGGATAGTATGTTTTCATTCTTACAGTGATATTTAAGGAAACATAAACAATTCAAACAAAAGCATTCCTCCATTTACAATATTGGTGCCATTCAAGTAATTTCATAATTCATTTAAATGTAATGACAAGAAAAAATAAGTTAATATGACCACCCAATGAAAATTTCTGGAAGTATTCAATAATTCATGAATTAATTAAACTCTGCTAATAACTAAAAACAATTTGAAACAACTAGTAAATCTAGTGTGTTGAAGACAGACACGCCGTATCAGTAGAAATGTGATACTTGAAGCAAGCATTTTTTCTTTGGTTCAATTTAAATCTTGGAATGTTAAAATACCACACTTTCTCTTCAAAAAATGAGTTTCCTTTATAAACTTTGAACTCTGAGATGGAGGCGAATGTTTTGATTCAAAGTAAGCAAAGTATACAGTCTGCTTGGGTTAAAGTGATGTAGGAATGAGTTTGCTCCAGTTTTCATAGTTATAATTATAATTTTCAAAGTAATCCTCTTTGTTTGAATGACTAGTATCATCCTCATGTTTGTATGGGAAGTCGGGTAGTGTTCACTTTTACCCCCAATGGGCCCCATGATATTGGCTTTCATATTGAGAAGCAGTTTGCTTGTCTTTCCCTTCTAAAAGCTCTCAACTGAATCCCAATGTAAACTGGTACTTTCACTATTGACCTGTGGTCATAGGGTCTAGGGGGAATGATAACAGAGCAGGTTATTGTCCTTGTTGAGTGGAGAGGAGAGGGCCATCTATGGTTCACAGGGTAATTTATTGCTCTTGTGATAAGGAAAGGTCAGTTTATAGCCAATTGGAGGAGGTATTCACACAGGTGTTAAGTATGTACTGTTTACTTATCCTGCTTGCCCAATATCCCCTGTGCTTGGATCTGTTCATTCAATGTGCTTGGAGTTGGATACAAATATAAACAATGGGGATTTGTGTCCTTACTACCATAGTCCATAGGTATGTGTAAATAATCAGATCCCTAGAAGGGGAAAAGTACTCACACTCACTCCCCTTGCTCCCCTATTGTCTTATTGTTGACATTAGGTCGTGTTTGACCCCAGAAGGATTTTTTTTCAAGATAGATCTAGATTTAGATTGAGGTTATGTTATTTTTATATTGGTAATGCTTTCTGTGACTGATTGTTTTCTTTTTCTTTTTTTCGCACTCTCTCCTTACATTTCTTGGGATAAATTGCAAGGTGGCATGCCTCCTGTATTTCACCATAATAATAATATGATAATTTGATGTTCTGCAAATAGTTGGGGGGGGGGGGTTTAATAGTTGATTTGTGACAGTCTTTAGTGGCCATATAATATGTTTGTTCTGCAGCAAAAAGATGGTAGTTAAGTGTAGCCCTCAAAAGCAGTTCATCTTGGTGCATGTGTGAAAGTAAAATTTCACTGAATTTTTCGCATTAATGAAATGTTGCCACATCTCTTGTATTTGTAATCTTTTTTAGCCTGAGTGTGTTAAGATGCAATACTGTTTTGCATTAAGATTTTAACAATGAAACAAATATTTTATTTTGGAAAAGTTTGATCCTGCTTCTAAGAGTACTTTGATGAATTGTGTTAAATTGCTTTTCCTGAGTTTCTGAAAATAACTACAATATATTGGTTTCTTCCAGATACAACAAGAGAGATCGTGATGCCAATGCTTTGGAGCGCCGTGTTCAAGTGCTAGAAAGGCAGTTGGCTGAGTTCAGTGCCCGTGACTTTGAGAAAGAGAATCAGGTATATTTCTTATTATGTTTTAATGGCTTGCCATTTAAAATTACTTAATAATAGCTAGCTAGTAGATTGTAATTGGGAATTATTGAAGCTTGTAAAGTTGCAATTAGTGCAATAGTTGTACATTTTTGTGGCTATTGAATTGTTAGTTAAATTATTTTTAAAAAGTAATGTCTTAGAAGGAAAATAGTGGAGAAAGGAGTGGGGGGGTTTTCTGATCCATTGTTGTTCACTCGAAAAATAACACTTGATGCATTTCATGCTGTTGGTGCAAACTTCATATCAAATGGGGCCCGGCTTTTAATTAATTAAAATATTGCATGAGGCTTCCCCGTCATATGCTTAAATGGATTGTGGTGCGGTAACACCTGTAAAGTGTCGGATCAATAATGGAGACTGCGTTAATTAATGATTCGATGTACTTACCACCAATCCCTAATGGCAGTTGAAATTTTTTTGGGGAGGGTGTTGCTATTATCTCGGGTTTTGGTCTCTCCCTGGAGTAAGGAAATTCTGAAGGAAAAGTTTAAAATATAGTTTATTGGTAGTACTAGATGCGCAATGTTGTTTTATTTTGCTTTTTGCATCAGTGTGGGATACAAGGCACTTCTCTTTCATGAAACAAAACGTAAAGACTATTTCCATGTTATAATTGTCTAAACATTTGTAATTTTAAGTAAAAGTTCTTTTAGATAAATAAAATTACCAGAAAACTTGTGATGGGAGGTCAATTTAATTGCCCACTAATCTATGCGTTGCGTCACGATTTCATAATGTTATACATTTTTTTGTCATGCAGGATTTTCCTACAAATTCTTTTTTAATGAAGCAAATAATCCTTTTGAATTTTATTTCATGCTTTGGAAGTTATTTATGTGTTTGTTTCAAGGCAAAAGGGTCAGCAGCAATGCATTGGCATTACTTATTTCATAATAAAATAATTAAACTGAATGGATGCTTTTGTGTCCGTGTTCCACTTGTGACAGTATGTTTTAGTGTTGTGATGTTGTGTTTTGAAATGATTTATGACTGTTCTGTTGTTTGGAGGGCGCCTCTGTTTGATTCTTTACTTTCCCTCTGCTGTTTCTGTCTCTCTGTCTTACTTTTCCCCAGCAATCAATTTGTCGATGTGCCTTTCTTTACTCAGTTATGGAGCCTTTTTTTTCCCCTTTTTGTGTACGTGTGTAGTTGAAGGATGTCGCTGATAAAGGCCCTTCTTCTTCTTTATCTTTGCTCTTTTGTTTCTTTTTTTCTTGCCTTTCCCCCAGCGCTAAATGACTGTTATTGTTTTATGTTCTTCTTTACTCAAGTAAAACAAATAAAAGCTGTCTTTTTGTGTATGTGTACATTCTCTTTCTGTATTTTCAGGATTTTATGCTTTGTTCTTGTGATTTTTATTCCAGTTCTCTATGTTCCTCTAACCATGTCTATATTTTACCCTTCATGTCATTCTGCAGAACCTGAAGAATGAGCTGAACAGACTGGAGCAGCAGCTGGCAGCAGCCAAGAAACAGCTGGAGGAAGAAACACTGCTGCGTGTGGACCTTCAGAATCGGGTGAAGACACTCAAGGAGGACTTGCACTTCAAGAGCCAAGTTTATGAACAGGTATGAGTTAATAGTCTTGTTGTTATTATGCTTTTAGATGGGCCATCTGTAGGTTGTGTGCCTGATTCTTTAAAGTCAAGCCAGATTTATGGTCTTTAGGTTGGTTGTGTGGTGTCAGTGGCCTAGCGTTAAGGCTGCTGAATTTATAGTTGCTAGATTACAGGCTGATTCTTTCTTGTCTTCGAAGGGTACTTTTAAAAAAAGAATTTCGCCTGCTGTATCTACTCACCTCTATTAAGTCAAAAGACGTAAAATTCATTTCTCTGGCTCTTCTTTTAGACTCTGCACAGGACACAACTTTTTGTTCTCATTAGAGTAGACTGGTTTCTTTATTCCACAATTATACCAACATTCATTTGCCACTTTGTTTTTGCTAGATGAGAAACATGAGAGGGAACAAAAGGAACAATTATGAAAAGTGAGGTCTATTAGTTAGTATAAGTCCAGGTTTGTTCTCTGTTCAAAATTGAAACGGCTGGGAATGAAATCTTCCATTTTTCTTCCGTCTTCATTCTTAAAACAGTAAAAAAAAAAAAACCAAAGAATTTTTTCTTATGTACTCGGTTAATGCTTCTGTTGGGATTAGAATGTTTTCGTATCAGACTTGCATATATTTCTGTTCTTCTTTTTCATTGTATTTGTTCTTCGTTGTTTCAGGAACTGGAAGAATCTCGCGTCCGCACCACAACCCAGCTGGAAGAAGTTGATGGCAGAATTGAACAGGAGTATGAGGCACGACTACAGGATGCCCTCAGGGAAATCCGTGCCCAACACGATTATGACTTGCAGTCTGTCAAAGTGGAACTGGAGACTCTTTATGAGAGCAAGGTAAAAGATTCTCTTTGATCTTGTTCTGGATATATCCCTCATAGGTCTGTGATAGAGTGTATTGGTTTCAGGATGTAGCAGACCTTACTGTCTTCCAGTAATTACCAGAAGTCTTTCTGTGACCAAGTTTTTCCACCCTGGTCAGTATTTTAAAATTTAACATTTTTGCTGATCCATGGTTTAAAAAATAAATTCTTCATCGAAAAACTCAATTTCGGAATTTAAGGAGTGTCATTTGAAATTAGTCATTTAGACCTGACAGCTGAAGCTGAGGACATTCTTTTCTTTTTGGAGAAACTATGATTTTTAAATATTTTTTATGGTGATGCGGTTTCAGTTAGCCCTTGTTTTGGTTGTAGGCTTTGGTGAGTCTGGCACACCATTAAAAAAATTTTGCTTCTAGATTCTTGCACAAATTTTGTCTCACACAGTTGAACCTTATAGAGGCTGGTGCCTCTGGTTGCACTGGACTTCAAACATTGCATGTTGTTGCTTTGGACTTACATTCTATGTTTCTTTGTTGTTTATGCCTACAAAGTAAGATGGTCGATCTAGGTACCTCGGAGGTCTTACTACGGTGACCCTTACTTTACCATCAATCATTTTTAAGCACTTAAGTATAAAAGTACAAGCATCTGCCAGAAAGAAGGCACAGAGTTACTGACAAATTCATGTGCCCATGGCTATAGAATTCATGTGTGCATAGCATGGGAGGAAAGACCAGAATAGAGGACTACTATCAGACTGTTCAGAAGATCGACAAGCCAGAAATGGCGTTTTATTGATACAATCGAACGTTTCAGATTAGAAGGAGGTACTTTCTGAATCAATGGACATACTGAGAATGATGTCAGACGCAGAAAAAGGGAGAAGCTGTTGTTGAACTTAATGACTGCCAGTTGTGTTCAAGTAACCTTTTCTCTCTGAATGAATTTGTTTGTATTTTATCTTGTTTGGCACACATGGAAAAATCTTTATAAAGTGATATTTGTTCCTTATTTTTCTGAATTATTCGTTTCGGGGATGGAAGTAAGTTTTAGCTAGTGGAATGCTCAAAATTTCAGGCCAGACAGCAACAAGCTGTGTTTTCAGAATCCACTTATTTGATGGATATATTATGGAAAGGGTTTAAAGTCTGTGTTTACAGTTCTATAAATATTTCAGTCTCAATGTTTACACATCTGCCTTTTTTTAGGTTGAAGATCTGAGGAACCAGCTTGAACGCAACAGTCAGTCGTCCAGTGCTGCCTGGGAGGAACTGATGCTGGCCCGCAGGAGTGTGGATGATCTCTCTGCTGAAATTGGAAGACTGAAATCTGAGGTAGGCACATCCTTTCAGTTTTATTTTAACTTTTAATATGTAAAGACATTTACCAAATTGTACAGGTTCCTTTTTGGAATTGATATCCTGCTTGGAATAGTCTCCAGAAGAGTCATGGTGACTTGCTTCTTTCAGGAGAGGCTTCCTCGTGTTAATTAAGAAGTACATTATTTTCCTTCGATTCTTTGTTTATTGAGGCATTGTCACTGGTTCAAGTATGATCCATCTTGCACTTGTTATAGAAAACATTTAGAGGTTACAAAACAAGTAACCACATTTTTATCATACCAACAACTGGAAATTTGAAAAGAAAAATCCAAAGCAATCCTTCTTTGAAATGATCAAAATTGTGTCAACTGTGGTGAAATGTATTCACAATAAAGCATTAGAGTGAAGTGAAGAGCTTCCTTTTCTTGATAAAGTGAACTAAAGTGAAAGGTGATTAACAATAGATGGAATTTGGAGAAAGACCTTGAAGGAACTTGTCACTGGTCATTCACCACTAGTCACCTGTAAAATAGCTGCACCCAACTGAACGGTCAGTCACCTGGGATGATGTCTAAAAGGCAATAGTAAGTAAACTGTGGAGCTAGGAATATGTTACACCCCCCTCCCCTCTTTGAGAATTTGGACTCCACTGAACAGGATGGTCTTCTCCTTGCTTCTCTCTTTTGGATTTTGATGCATGGCACCTATGAAAATGTAATAATGGAATTTTACAATGTGTTATTGCAGAATGCAGGCCTTGATCTGCGTGTGAAGGATATAGACAAGCAGCTGGAGAGAGAACGTGATGAATTCCGCCTGAGGATGAAGCAGCGAGATGAAGAGATCAGCCGCCTCCGTGCTCAAGTGGAGGAACTGGAGAGAGAGTATGCTGCCCTGCTGGAGATCAAGATCAAACTAGACAGGGAAATTGAGGCTTACAGGAAGCTGTTGGAGTCAGAGGAGACCAGGTAAGGCAATTCATGTCAACTGTGCATACATATAAATACAATACTGAAGGTGTTACATGCTCTTATTATAATGTAAATGGTTTCCTGAAAATAGTTCAACAGGCTTTCTGATTATTAACTCTTATCTTGCGTCTGTGCCCAGATGCGTATCTTATCAGCAACCGAATACGTCGGACCTGCCGGGCAGGCCGCCGGGGTCACTCAGTGTGTACTGTTGGTGTACAGCGTGCGCGCCGGGAAACGTGTGTTTTCGCCATGAATACCGCGGGAGTGTGTTAACCGATGATGAAAATAATGCTCTATCCTTCATAGCTTTCTATTTATAAAGTGTTACAAACACTTGAATAACCCCCTCTCGCAAGCTGATAAGACATTACGAGTAGTTACGCCCATTCGAATAACCTTTCTGGACGCTTTTGTTGTTATGAATGACCTGAGGTTCGAAAGGGGATAATTTAGGTCAATTTCCGAATGTTTTACACTCAAATTGTTCTTTGTACATGCACAATGGTATTCAAAACTATCAAACAAGCTTATTTTTTATCATGTAGTATCATTTCATACAAAATCAAGCTCATTTGAAATATTTTGTATGGAAAAATGGAAGTCTTGTTTCTGACTATCCTTTCGAGCTCCTCATGTCTAAGTGGGTCAATTTCTTCTATAATTTCATTGGACGAACATCTAGAGCTATCAACTTGGCATGTTTTGAATGAGACGTATGCCTCGATTACGAACCAACGCATGCGGTTCTAGAAGAAGGCCACAAACGCACACAAACTCAAGCAGACTGACGCACACACACTTGACCTGCGTGAATGGGGATCCGACTCGGGACCCGAATGATACGTAAGAGGATGCGCGTGCACTGAGCCAGGTGCTACACTGATTCGGGACCAGAACGTAGGCGAGGTGCCGAAATAGGCTTATCGGGCTACAAAAACCCGGCTCCCGCAGGATGAGGGTTAAGTGATAAGAACAGACACAAACGTTAGCCATAAGTAGTTTCTATGCTCTTCATAGTGCATTTTAACTCCTGATTTATATTTGCAACATACAGAATATGCTTTAAAATGATTTCAGAACATTGGCCCATAGAATGACACCATTGATATGAATGTTCATTTCAGTTTTAATGTGCAGTGAGACCTCCATTTCTGCTGAGCTTTTGGTTAAAGAGATAACATAAGGGCAAACTCCAAAACCTTGATATTCCCTGACTTTTCTTTCTGCTTGTTGACAGAACCTGAAGAATGAGCTGGCCTAGACTTTAAATCCTGTTTTCTGTTTTGCTTTGTTATTTATAGTACCTTCATTTTCATCAACTGCTGATAAACTTTCTGGGATCACTCTGGTTTTATGACCTAATCTGGATTAAGTGCTGCTATCTATAGCAAAAAGTTTTTGTTTTTCTTAAGAAAATTTTACTTGTGAACATTTTATATCACAGAGGGGGAAATTGAGTTTTTCCATACGCATTGTCAAGTGATCCATGCTTTTTGACAAAGATTCATAAGTTGCAGCACCTTCTTTTCTCAAGGTTCATATTTTGTCTTTGATTTCATGCTTATTCAAGTCTTTATTTTCCTATCATTTTCCCAATCTTACTTCAAAATGTTTTCCCACAGATTGAACATTTCAGCTTCTATGACAGAGCAGCGTTCAATGACCACAGCTTCATCATCAAGTGGTGGCAGAAAGCGCAAGAGGATGGACATTGGCCAGGCGGTTGAAGAGTACACACAGCGCACTGCTTCCAGTGGTTTCTCCAGGTCTGCTACTTCCTCCTGTGGAGTGGATATCAGTGATGTCGACACGGATGGCAAATTTGTCAAGCTGACCAATACCACCGACAAGGTAATGCCTTCCCTTTTTTAAATAGTTAGAATGCATCAGGGTTTGAGGAATTGCTTTGGGAAAAGTATTTGGTTTCGTAATTAATCATGGTTGCTTTTGTAATCTTCCAGTTGTTTACTGTTGTCAAATTTTTTGGTGCTAAACAGAAAGCAAGGAATTAAGGATATGAAAATATTACTGTGGTATTATTGAGCATGTGCACATTTAACAAAAGAATGCATGCAAACTTCAGTAATGTTTGTTTTCGACCTGTGACTGATTTTAAAAAAAGCTTTTTGACAGGCATTTGAATTCATTCACATTTCTTCTTAAGTTGGATGTGTAAAAAAATTATAGTTAAGTGTTTATTCTCGGGGAACGTACAGTGACTGGTCTCTGCGGAATCTACTGCCATTGACATGGCACTGTATCCTTTCTGATTCTCTGTCTTGCATCACCTCACTCACAAACTACACACTCCTACACCCAAAAATAGTTACGCTACAACAGAAAATACACACTTTAACTCAAACAGAGAAAAATATGGAGTTCGCATGGATACCTAGCCATGTGGGCATTCGAGGAAACGAGCAGATAGATGACCTGGCGAAGAAATCCTTATCCCTTCTGTTTGGATCAACGACTAACACCCTCCCACAGACTAACTTTAAAAATAAAGTCAAAAAGTACACCTCCAGTCTGTGGGGGAGCAATTGGAAAAAACAAACTAATAACAAACTACACAACATTAAACCTGAACCGGGACCGCGAAATCCTTCGGGCCTCTCCAGAAAAGACAAAGTTATTTATTAATTACGCATGGGACACACGGCCCTAACACACAAATACCTCCATCAGGGAAAAGAGAAGCTGTTCAGTGCCGGATGCGACACCAATTTTACTGTTAGATACCTTTTAACCTAATGTCTAGACTTCGGAGAGACCCGAAGGAAATACTATAAAAAGCAAAAAATTGCAAGACATTTCTTCCGTCGTTGATCCCAACAGAATTTTGGACTTTATGAAAGCCATTGGCCTTTATAGAAAGTTATGAAATTTTCTAAAGTGTCATTTAGCAAGTTGTTTTAAATTTAAATTTAAATTTAAATCTAAAATCTATTTACACTCGATTTTTTGCGTTTTATTAACAATTTTAAATAGAAATATTGACCAGTATCAGGCCTAGAAATAAACTATTGAAAAAAAAAAACCCAACTTGTTTCGCGCGCTCATATGACCTTATGCAGTTGCGAGCGCCGTAAAACCCCATGCTAAACTACTTACTCCAGTGACTGGTAAAAAGTTTCTTGTACCTGCTGCTCAGTTTCTTGAAATTGTTACCTCCCAAGTTCTTAATTTATAACCTTGTTTATGACCTGAAATGTGTCATTTTAATGGGCATGAATTCATCTGCTGGTTATTATCATATTGTTCTAAAAGATGAAGACGTCATTGTTGCTATTTATAAACTTTACACTCCAGTAATACCCAAGACTTTCATCACTAAAACCATTGATTGACAAATGTTGTTAATTTTAGCTGCCTATGGGCTTCGGTCCTTTAGCACAGTTTGGAGAAGGTAGACTTTCAATAAGTTGTTAAGGAGTTTTGCAGGTTAAAGCTTTGGAAGACCAGGTGCTTTGGATATTAGTTGCCTATGGTGGTCGCTAAGTAGGTGTGTTTGAAAGGATAAACTGTTGATTCTCATTGCTATATATATATCAAATATTCTTTGAATTTGCATACAAATGTAACTTTTTAGAAACCCAGGGGTTGCTTCTACTAAAAGTATTGTATAATCAAGTACAGACTCATGACCTCATAGACATTGAGCTTCATGATAACACTTCTTTTCCACAGGATGTACATCTGTTTCACTGGCAAATCAGGCATGTGTCAGGGGACAACGAGACCCGCCACAAGTTTCAAAAGAATGTCCTGAAAGCAGGCCAGACCATCACAGTATGTAGCTTTGTCTCCCTTTCATATAACAACATCTTTGCAAGCTGCTTGTCTTGTTTGTTCAAGTTACTTGCTTACACTCGCTTACCCATTTTCAGAAAGCCGTGCTGGTTCAGAAGTTTCTGTACTCTGGGAGGGTGGTATCCATCTGCCCCAGCCTTAGTATTATAAAGTATAAAGACAAGGCATAATAGAAAGGGACCGACCTTTATTGCAGAAAGGTGCGAGAAGCAATGTCCGACTATTGGAAAAGCTAAGAAAATGAAGACGGGGATTTTGTAGTGTGATGATGTATTTTCACTACTCACAGATTTAGAGTTGCCAACAACTTTGACGAAGAGAGGAAGAAAAGCAAGATGAATGTCTTCAACAACTTTGTAGATGTATGGCTTAATTTCTCGTGTCACGTTTCAGGTTTCAAGTTATTTTCTATTTTTGGTTTATTTCTCAAAGTCCTGACATTTATTTTATAGACTTGGTGATTTTGTAAGAATATGGTTGTAGTTTATGTGCTGCATATTGCCTTTTTAAGTACAACGAACAGCCGCTTTATTGTTGCTCAACTTTAATCTCAGCTCCTCTTTGTATTATTTTTACTTTATCATACTGTTTTTTTATTCTGTCTGTCAGGTGTGGAGTGCTGACTCAGACCAGACCCACAACCCACCCAGTGACTTGGTGATGAAGGGCAAGCGTTGGTTTGTCAGTGGTGACATGACAACAACTTTGTTGGATCAAGATGAGACAGTTAGTTTTTAACTTTTTACTGGGCTGCTAGGTTGTTACTTGCAATAAAACTTGAAGCGCTCAAATATTTTAATGACCCACATTTTTTTCCTTGATATATGTGTTACGATGTGGTGGAATCAGCCGCTTGTCAATTTTTGGACATATTGGGTCCTGAGTATCGACATAAAGCCTGTTCATTTGCCTTCCTTTTGGTGAACAAAATATTCTTCTATGTTGAAGAAAAGTTGAAATGTTTACGATTGAAGGAGATAAGGGGTGCCTAGTTTCAAAGGTGAAATTAGGGAGAAAATAGCCGCCAAAGTTATGTAACTTCCAATAGCTTCAGAGTCCTTGAGAACTGAAAAATCACGTATTTTTTGCCTTTAATTAACATTTTTCAGTAAAATTCACTTGGAAATGTGATTTTATATGGACATAAAAGGTATGGAGTGAAAAAACAAAAATTCTATAAAAATTACCGAACGGGCGGAAAAATGCCGGTTTCTTCCAATTTCATTATTTTGACGAACGCCTGATTTCACCACGATGCCTCACATATGACAGCTTAGATTCCACCTTTTAAATGGTATATGGAGTTCATAGATTACTACAAGTTTGATAAATCCTCCCTAGTCGTATGTGAACCATGTAAACTCCCCTTTTGTGTGTCAGTAGCTTTACTACAACATTTGGCTGGATGTACTATACTCCTGCTGCTAGTAAGCGTGTACCCTTCCTGCCATGACATGAAATCCTGAGCTTAAAACTTGAAGCAGTCAAATTTGTATAGGTAAACACGCTGGTGGCCATACTGCAATGGGAAGAGAGCTTTTTCTAGCACCTTATATAAAACAAAAAGAAATAGTGAGGCAAGGGAAGAGTATCAGTTGACAAGATGTAAAGAGTTACATTGAGGACAAGGATGCATAGGGTATTTATGATTGATTCTTTGACCCCTAAGATATCCACTGCACCAGGATGCAAGATTGTTTTTTCTTGTGTTTGAAATCACTTTACAATGAAATAATGTTTTGTAGTTCCCATGCTCAATTTATTTGTCTTCTTTGACTTATTGAGTTATGACTAACTGAAGCAAGCAAGTATTTGTGATTCACTCAACGCCAGGTTTTGCAGTAGCACTCATTACAATAACTAAGTTTGTTTAGATACTTGGATATGAGCTTTGATCCTCTCATTTTGAAAAAAAAAAGAGTTTCTTTGTACAGATGTACTCGTGTTTGTATTCTGAGGGGTTAGAAGAATAAGTTTAATAAGTTTCTCATCCCACTGTATATTATGGACTTTTTAAGTAGTAAACCCAAACCTCAAAAACTTGTGGGGGAAAAAAGGGAAATGTCAAAATTGTTTTAGTTATCATTAAATAGTTCTTTTGAAGTGATCTGTGGTATCTTGTCTTTCATGTTTAGTAGTCGTAGTGCATTAGAATTTGTTCTGCTGCAACACAAAAAGAGTGTTCTTTCTCTGTAAAAAAGTTTGAATATATTTTAATGTTTGTAATGATTATTTAAATTCTTTTATTCAAAAATGAATTTTCTTTTGTCACAGGAGGTTGCTTCTTGTTCAATGAGCAGAAATATAGGCAGTGTGGCTTCCTACAGCACCAGACGACGAGGACCCCGGGATGAGTTGGATGGGGAAGAGGTCAGTTTGTTTTTTGTTTGTTTGGCTGTTGTTTTTTTATCATGCCTTTGCGGGCATGCATTTTGTTTTTGTCGTGTAAACTAGGCTAGAAAGTATAATAAAATGAAAGGCGCCTGGTCTTTTTCATTGGCAGTATTGAGGTAAGAAAAGTTTTAACAAATATTGATTGTTCAAACATGGAGTCTTACTGAAAGTCTGTAAGTGTTTCTTTAGTGTGTTCATTTTTATTTTTTTTGTGGGTCCTAGATTTTTGTATGGTGTTGCAGCCATCCCAGGGCTTTTGTTTGTAGGTGTAAAGCCAAGTTACAGAAGCTGGAAATCATCTGAAATTTGATCTGGTTTGCGTAAAGGGAGCAATCTGTGTTTGAAGTGGAAGTTGTTGAAGACTCTTGTGTACTTAGACTGTCATACCTTATGGTAGGTGAGATCTAACACCTCGCCTTCTTGGATAAGGACGGAAAAATCTCAGAGGTTTCGTGTACAAGTTGCACACATTAAAGATCCCTTGATGGTCCTAAAATCAATAAAAGTAGGCTTCAGCTGCCACCCAGGCAAAATTCAAAATCAATTCCTACCAAAATGAAAATATGTAATGTGTCTCGTGTGCAGTTGCGAGCGCCATAAAACACTTACCAAAAAAGCAAAAATGCAAATGTTACAACGTTTTGTATGAGAGATATCAAAGCAAGCTCACCAGTGAGTTCTATGGTTCGATCCTATTGAAATAGTGTTTTGTTGCTCATTTTGTGTTTACAGATGAAGATATTTTCTCTGCTATCCTTGTGTTTGATGGTTTCCCTTTGGTTGAAGAAAAACTCTTCAAATCCTGTGTCTTCATCCTTTTTATTTTTTCGGAATGATATTCTTTAGTATCTTGAGTTGTTATTGTTGATGGAATTTCTAATTATTTTTTTTTATTATTCTTTATAGAAATTTATTATTCACATGAAATTGTGAATACTTGGATAGTGTGCTCCCTTCTTGGTTCTTTCATAACTGATAAATGTGTCTTTGTGACAAAGTATCTTTTCAGGTCGCATTCGTTTCTCTTCAAACTCTTTTACTTTTCATTGTTATTTACAGTTTTTATGTGCATATATAAGATTTAAGATTGTACAGCGGCTGACCTCATTTAATCGTACATTTTTTGTTGTGTTCAGATGGTTTATTGCTCGTCTTTTCTTTCCTCAGCTTCAAGACAAGGACAAGTGTTTTGTCATGTAAAGATTGAGGAGAGGAAACGAGGTCACTTCGTCTATATATGATTTATATGTTAGCCTCAGAATGCATTCGGTGTAATTCTTATCAAATATTTTAGCAAAATTAATTTATGGAATAATCTGGAAGAGTAAGCACTTGTGAAAACTATTGGTTTGTACTTGAGCAGGGGAAAAGCTCTGGGGGGAATGGAGCATGCGTCTGATTAAAAAAATAATGTGAAACCAGGTTTTAAGAATTTTACTAAGGGTCCCTTAAGAAAGCTAAGACAAAGTACAGTTCATGGTTTGACCCACCGGTCTCTCAAGTATAGAAGTTATAACACATTTGTTTTGAGAATGCTGATGCCTCTCACACTAGAAATGGGGAAATAAGTTAAGCACAAATACTGAACTTTTGTTCTCTGTCTTGCCGAACTAATAAGGAATTTTTAGCACTGTGTACCAATTGACATTTCTTTTATAAAGATGTAGTTCTTGTCGTCATAATTTGTGAAGCCATACTCATTTTTCAGTGGCAATGAAGAGCATCACTGGGTTTTTACTTTGTAAATCTTTTCAAACAAACATTCTTGTCATGTCTTAAGTTAGTGTAGTTCAGAAGATTTTTCATCTACTCGTACTCATTCGTATACATGTTATGACATGAAAACAAAATGAAAAAAAAAAAGCAAGTAATAAAAAGCTGATTGTTAAAACTTGATGACAGTGTGCGTTTTTTGTTGAAATTTAGTCTAGAAGATGTATTGACCTTTCAGTGGAGAATTTTATGTATATTGGACTGTATTTACCCGTGACTGGAATTTCTCATATGGTTATATTTTCCCATAGTCAAGAAACTTTGAATTAAAAGTCATAATGTTCAAGACAGTTGAAATGGCGACTGATTTTAAATTGCTGGTTAGTGAATTTTAAGTGTTTTCAGTGCTTGGAGATGGACAGTTATCTGGGGGAAAATGTGGAATGCACTTGGCAACAGCAGTAGATCAGTCTTCTGATGAAACTGCTGTAGTTTTGTGTAAATGTGATTCTCTCCATTTGTCCTTCCAGCGACCACTCAACTGTTATTTTACTGAGAAGTGCCAAGACAATTATGTTGCAGTGGTGATTTTGATTGCAAGGGTCCACATGATTCTGATAATCAAATATTGCTGTGAGAATGATTCCATCTCTGTGAATGTAAATGATATTTGCAAAATCGAATTCAATTCCTGAAAAGGTTGTGGAAATTTGTTCCTTAATGTTGTTTCTTTTGTTTCTTTGCAAGCTAGAGGCACAGGTTAAAAAAAACAATTTTTTTAAAGCCTCAAGAGCTTGTCTGCTTTTGTGTGTATTTCTGACATGACTCACCATTTCCTTTATAGTGAATTTTAATCATGAGGGAAGAAGTCTGAGGATTTGATCACATTATGGGGGGGGGGGGGGGGGGTCTGTTTTGCTAGGTGGGAGAAACATTCATAAGTTCACCCTTTCTTTCCTTTTTTGTGTTGGTCACATCATATTCATGCACGTTTTGACTCCATTGTGTAGACATCACAGTCACATTATTCTGTATTGCTACCTTAATATCTCCAACTTTCTATGCCATGTACTTACCATAGCACTAGTTAGTACGGTTGTGTTGTTATGGTTATAGTTTCATACAGATGGAAATTGATTTCTGAGAACAGAAGTGAATAATTGTAAAGGTTTCCTTTAATGGGTGGTGATGAAAGATACGTGAATGCATTTTTAGTTTGACAGATGGTAAAGGGCCTTGTGTGTTTTCTGTATTCGCCCAGAGTAAAAAGTTTCAGTACTGTGAGGTCATTTATAGATCTTTGTGCACAGACAGTTTCAAAGAGCTCTGTCAGAAATACCAGTTCCTAAGTCTTGTAGAAGATGGTGGTTGTGTCAACCATTAACTTGATCTGATCATTGTGCAATGCTTTTTCTAGAGTGTGAATTTTATTTGCATTTCTGCTTCATGAGATTATCACTTTTTGTGTCCGTGTTCCTGTAGCAAACTAAAGGTTTATGCTCTCTTATTCTTATATTTCATAGTTTCATCCTCCATTGCAACAGTGATTCCTGCCTTCTGAAAAAAATGTGAACCTTTTTTTTTTATTCATAAGATTGAAGTAATTACCTTGGTGCCTAAAATATGTTACTAGCGTGAACAGCCAAATCTTGTATAAGTACTCAAAAGTATCCACCATCCTTCATAAATCATTCTAGGTGATCATAAACTCTCTCTTCATCATACTGATCTTTCCACTTGTGCGGGAGGAATACCATCACGTTCAGTTATTGTCTGGAGCGTTTAATTGATAGAGGGCCCAGTCCACCTTTTCTGATTGTCAGCATAATTTTAATTTTGAAATTAAGTGTGGATTCCTTTTTGAGGAAGTCAATACTAGATAGTATAGTACTAGTCAATACTTGAAAACCAATACGGTAGGGATGAATTTTTGGTACAGTGTACAGCATTTGCAATACATTTTAAAAGTTCACTTTGCTTTCAAACTCTTGTCGACTGAAAAGTCAACTCTGAATTGATGGGTACAGTGAATAGGTGTGTCCGCACACCTTCTTTATGTCTACTACTATCACTCCTTTTTTGTTATGATCTGATTGCGAGCATGTGCATGAAGTACTTTGAATGAATGAAGTTATCTGCAAGAAAATAATACAAATTGAGAGATGGATATTTGTTTGTTGCAAGAGTTTCTCACTTGCATGAATGCTGTGTTTTTTAGGGGTGAGCTTTTTGATCTCTACTGCTTTGTTAGAATTTTTTATCATTTCCTGGTGTACATGATATCTTTCTGTGTGTTTGTGTGTGTGTGGACTATCCTTCTCCACATATTTACTTTGACCAAGTTTCTCTTGATGAGAAACGATGTAATTGGGCAGTGCTTTTCACGCCTGGTTGTCCCATATCAAAGAAGTGCATTTTGAGCGATGCGCTGAGGTGGTAATTGTTGGCTTCCCACTTCTTTTACTTACAAAAATGTATGTTTCTGCTGAAGTGCCTGACGTGGGGTTGGTGCCGAGCTGTACATGCCTTGTGGCAATTGCTGTACAAACAACAAATTGTTCCTTTCTGCCTAGTTTGTGAGTCCAGGACAACTACGCGGTTGATTCTTAACTTCCATCTCACTTATAGTTGAGGAGAAACACCTTGATTTTTGTCTGCCGTAGGGATTTCTTTCGTTTGGAATTTGGAAATCTATAATGACCTAGACACTGCCAATTCTTGGACGACTAGGGAGATTGTGGAGACTGGGGTGTTAGTAGAGGTAAAGGAAATAAATTGAAGCCTGTATACATAATATTAAAATATAAACATTGTAGAAGGCAGCAGTTTTTATGTATACCCGGTTATGATCACCTAATTCATGTAACTGTTTCATCTTTGTTACTGTTATTCATTGTGAATTTCCTGTGACTTTGAGTAATCATTGAGTAATCCTCCAAGCTTTTGTACAGTCAGCAGCAGACTGTTCATCCCTTCTTGAAGGTTGCTGTTTTTACATTTTTCCAAATAAGGAATGATGACTTCAGTGTAGATTTTCAGGTTTAAAATGTTCAGCACTCTGAGAGCTCATTTATGTTACCTGTGAGTTGCTTTTGTAGGTTTCTATTTAGTGCTTGTAGTAATAATAATACTCTTGTGTTCTCTTCTTGTGCTTGTAAGGTACCCAGTTCCTCCTCGTAACCTTTAACCTTTGATTAGTAGCATTGTCTGGTGTGGGGTTGAATTTGGGCTGTTTCCGCCAACTGCTTTTGTCATCAATGTTTCATGCATACATATATATATTATAGTGTTTTTGACACTAATTTCTTGTCTATAGACGTGAGGGGAAAAGCAAAATTTATTCGAAGGGCTGTCGGGTGGCTAAAGCTGTGTGCTGAAAGTTTTCTAATTAGAATTAGAGCAGCGCATCAAATCTGTTTCATGGCTGCGTCCATCACATGCACACCCATATAATACTTCTTTGGGCCATGTTTAAATTGTGTTAGACAACAGTGACCAAAGGTTTGAAGAACCTTTCCTCGGACAGATCTCCCGCGTTATGTTTTTGGTGTTTTGCCGTAGTGGAAGACTTTAGATTATTTCAGTATCTTAGCTCCTGTCTGATAGTGATTGAGACAGTGCTGTAGGAATGCAATCTTGGCGGAAACTTCCCTCACTTTTGCTTGTAGGATCTCTGTTAAAATATTTCAGTTCACTTATGTTAGCCTGAGCTTTCTCATTTTCTTTTGTTCTTGTTTGAAGTAAAGCTTTGAGCTGCTTTAAGTGGCCTGAATCAACACAAAAAAAAGTCTGTGATAATGAACATTGGTACTAAATCTCTCAATCTTTTGCTGAAGGGGTGTTGATTGTCAATAACACCAAGTCTGTCTTGTGTTGATATTGCACTTTGGAGTTCTACTGTGCCTCAAGGGTGTTTTTTAACAAGTGTGTTATCAATGTCAAGTAGAGACAAAGGGATGGAAAAAAATGTGGGTTTGTTTGACTCACGATTTTGTGAAGAAATGCACCGAGTTTGTGCACAGGTTTAAGTAAGCTGGCTTTTTCATGGTAATTGAACAGTTTCTTGTCTGTGCGACATTCTAACAATTATTAACTTTCCATTGATTGAAACTGAATCGCATTTCACAAGGGAACATCACTCAGGGTTTCTTTTTTGGGTTTTCTTTTGGACCCATTGAGTTGAAATATTTCCACTGTGGGTTTTTCAACCCCACAAAGGACTTATGGCACCTCAAGCATTTACTGTTGGTCTTTTCTTGTATCTATCCCTTCACTGATTTGTTTTTCATGCTTTATATTCATAATATAATACATCATGTACACATATATATATATTACAGTACCAAGCTTTCATAAACTTTTGTAGATTTAGTTTTTTTAAGGGCATTTTTTTTGTGTGCAAAATTCTCATTTTGGGAATATTAAGGATTTTTTTTTGTCCTCTCCCCAAGTAAAAAAAAAAAGAATTATCTGGCTTAAACTAAAATGTGTATTTTCTGTGTCCGTTTTGATTTACCATACTTGAATCATCACATTTAGGAAAATAAGAGAATGAGCCCTTGGAAATGACACATTTACTTCTCGTTTCTTGCAATAATAAGCTCTTTTCTTGCTTGCATTTTGTTCCCATTTATTATTGATCTTTCAGCTGACGCTAATTTTGTTAACTCTTTATCATTATAATAACCGTCTTTGTACTGAATAAACACAAAATGCTCTGAATCACTTTTCTTTAACATTTTTTTTGTTGAAGCACAATGTGGATCTAGACAGACTGGTGTCTTTGGAAAGGGGAGACTGTGGGTGAAACCACAAATGCTACTCGAAGCTGAGCTGTTACAGCGAACTCGTGGGTGGTTGACGGGTGCTCTGGTGTGGTTTGCTCCTTCTTTTCTATTAAACATCTGTCGTCCTTATCTCCCCTCCTTCTTTTTTGTGTACTCTCTTACTTGTCACACATAATCTATTCTTCGGCACTTATATGACCTTATAAAGTTATTGCGTTACAAGTGCCTTAAAACTTTTACTAAAAACTAACTATGTGTGTCTGCAAAATGCATCTTGATGGTTTTATGCTCTCATCATCAAACAGCTGAAATTCTTGAACTTTTTTTTTTCAACATGCAGAAGCTGAAGAAAAGAAACCTGCTAAGAAAACCCCCACCCCAGAACACTATTCAGGATTCAGGTTTAAATGAAAAGAGAAGACCCAATCGTTAGCTCATGGTGTTTTCATACTATTAGTTTTAGTAGTGCATCCTGGCTCTTCATTAAAAAAAAATTTTTTTTTACCCGCAAATACATGTAGAGCTTGGCATTGGTTTTAGAACAGTAAAAGAGTTGACTCGTTTCTTCCTCCCTTTACACAGTTAGAACTCAATTATACCATACAATACATAAAGCTTGTATTTACCTTCCACCAACGTAATCGAGCTTGCCACAGCCTGTACTATACAATTACTATGTATCTCCATCATCAATTCAGATGGAGCGTGCACGAGGGAAGTTTTACTCTCTTCAGTCAGATAGCGGATGGTTAGATGGTGCCACTGGTATAAATATTCTGCCTTTTTACTTTCCTTTTGTTGTTTCTGTCTGTCTATATCTGTCTTACTTCCCCCCAGGACTAAAGCAAATGGCCATTGTTATTGTTTCGGTATGCTCCTGTTTATGTTTACTCTAACAAACAGGCAGTCAGATGACTATGACTATGACACTCCTACACGCGAAGTTCGGTGGTCTGTCATGATTAGGCATTACTAAATTCTTCTTAAAATACATCGAAAGTGTTATACAGTCCGTGCCGGTTTTAAGCACGCCGGCTTAAAGCACGTTTCGGACTCAAGCACGCTAAACGGCTCTTACCGAATTCTTGCTATATAAATTACATGCCTTTAAGTTTAAGCACGGTAACTTCGGCTTCAAGCACGCTTCATTTACAAGACAGTCAATATTTTCATGATGACCCATCGAAGTTCGAACACAGTCTACACCGCAGCAGTGGAGTGTGTCAAGAGAAACACAAAGAACACAAGTGATGGACACACACACTCACACGGGCGGAGAGGAAGGCAGATGCACACAGCCGCGCGCGCGGACATAGGATCTGGTTTAGGCCTAGGGCAAAGCTACACACGACAAAAAAAATACAAAGAGAGTCGGGGAGACGAGAAAGGGAGGCTGGCTGCGATTTCACCTTTGACCCTCGCTATCCATTAATCCTGATTGTGTATCACGCGCGAGGTGGGATGAAAGCGGTGGTATGAGTGGCACAGCGGGCAGTGGTACGCACAGGCAGTGTGTAGGCCTAGTGTGCTGTATCGTGACTGGCCGTCTAAATTAAGTTTTCATTTCCCATTCGACCACAAAACAAAAACAAACAAGCGAACAAAAACTACCATGGCGGGTGTCTAAATAACAGTGCACACTTTTGCGGGACCGCTATAGGCCTACTTACAAACAAAGGGAAATAGCACGGGAAATTTTCTACAAGAAAATCTCTGGATTATGTCTACTTCGCACTCAAGCACGCTTCGGCTTTAAGCACGCTTAAGCTTTCTCCCGACGACCGTGCTTAAAGCCGGCATGGACTGTAATATTTAATTAATTATTTTTAAAATGTAAATTTATTATAGTATGGATTAGGTGTACCATGAAGAGTTGGGTACCAGTGTCTGTGGTGTAACGGTAAGACCCTTCGCTGTCTCAGGCAGGAGACCAGAGTTTGATTCCCGAATGGGAAGAATATTTTTATCGAGCATATCTGTTTTTCTGCTGGGATATTGTATCCCTCGCTGCCCGGGTTTGCCATGGCGTGACAGGCAGGGTCAGAAGCCCACCTCCTAAATTATCTAAATTGTGTCTATGGCGCAGTCTATGGGGGTGTCAAAAACGCCTACATTAAAAAGAAGAAAAAAAAGTGGATCTTTACGGGTAAGGAATCGAATTCTAACTCTAAGGAACTTCATCTAAATCTAAGAGGCTGCTGCATACAATGTATGCGTTACTTAGGGTCTGTACTGATATTTTGAAATATATTGATGAAAAAAAGGTATGTCTTCTTACTCTTTTGGACCTTTCGGCTGCATTCGATACCATTGATCATGACATTTTACTCGAGAGATTAAATACTACTTTTGGCATAAAGGGTACTATCCTGTGATGGTTTGAGTCACATTTTAAGGATCGAACACAAGCAGTTGTGGTTGGAAACACGTGTTCTAATAATGTTTTGCTTAGATGTGGTGTTCCTCAGGGGTCTGTTCTTGGACCTGTCTTGTTTACAATGTATACAAAACCTATTGCTGATATTTTAAGACAATATGGCATGAATTACCATCTTTATGCTGATGACACTCAAATTTATAAGTCCATTGATTTCGATCAAATACCACTTTTAGTCGACTCTACTGAGCAATGTACTAGAGATTTAAAAATATGGATGACCAGCAATAAATTGAAACTAAATGATGACAAGACGGAAATAATGTTGAGTGGAAATACAAAAGCCATTAAAAATCTCCCAGAGCTACAAATTGATATTAAAAACCATACCATTCGTTCAAAAAGAAGTCTTAAAAATCTAGGGGTTCAGTTGGATTATGATATGTCTATGTCCTCCCAAATAAGCCAGCTCAGCAAAAGTATTTACTTTCAGCTTAAGAAAATTGGCAGTGTAAGAAATTATTTAACTAAAGCAGCTGCCAAGACACTTGTAACAACACTCATTTGATCAAAGTTAGATTACTGTAATGTTATTTTGTCCGGTTTGACATCCGAAAAACTATCAAAGTTACAAGTACTCCAAAATCAAGCAGCAAAATTGATAATGAAACAAAAGAAATCAGCCCACATAACACCAATTCTGAAAGAACTACACTGGCTGCCAATAAAAGAAAGGATTAAATACAAAACTGCCGTTCTCTGTTTTAAATGTATAAATGATAGTGCACCTTTTTATCTTAAAACATTCCTGGAATTATATAATCCACCTAGAGCCCTTAGATCAGCCTCTGACAATCTAATTCTTAAAACTCCAAAACAAAATTACAAAACATACGGCGAGCGTTCCTTTTTGTTCTTTGGTCCCCAGGTATGGAACGAACTCCCACATAAAATAAGATCTGCCCCAACAATTTCCATTTTCAAAAATCAGCTGAAGCATTTTTTATTCACAAAAGCACACCTGTCATAATGATGTACTGTGATATATATGCATGTGTATGCCAGACTGTGAGACTGAAGAAATAGCGAGTGAGAATGAGAGAGAGAAAGAGAGAGATAGCGAGAGAGGGAGAGAGAAAGAGAGAGAGAGATGGGGAGAGAGAGAGACAGAGACAGAGAAAGAGAGAGAGAGAGACAGAGAAAGAGAGAGAGAGAGAGAGAGAGAGAGAGAGAGAGAGAGAGAGAGAGAGAGAGAGAGATAGAGAGAACGGAAATGTTTTTCTATCTGTATAGAATTAATGTTTTAATGAATGTTTCTAGTTACTCACGTTTCAACTTTATTTTGACTGTTCGTGAATTTTTATTGCATTGTATATTTTTAGTGAACACATTTTCAACCTCACTGCGAGACTGTTTTTCTGGTATAAAATTTTACACATATGCATTTATATTATATGTATAATACTTTGTTTTACGTACACATTTGTGTCGATTAATTTTTAAGATGTGATGTCTTTTTCATTGTAATGCGCATTGAGCATCTTTTAGGAAATGGAAATGCGCAGTATAAATGCTATTTATTATTATTATTATTATTATTATTATTATTATTATTATTATTATTATTATGTAGGCCTACTATACAAGTGTCATTCGCAAAGATGTCAGTTACCACAACCACCAGAGTATTATAGTCCTACTCTTCCCCTTTTTATTTTGCACAGAATCTTGAAAATAAATGTACAGTGACCAAACCCCGTTGTGCCGCCTACCCTGGGACGAGCATGAAGTTGGCGGTATAAGTATAACGGGATAGCCCCGATATAATTACTATCTTGACAAGTGGACGACTGGTATATAGAGACAAGATCAAATGCAGACTGGGGGCCAGTTTTGACTCGTCTTGATTTGTCTTGCGCTAATGCTATGTGATGGGGGAAAAACGAGTAGCGGTAGCAGTAGAAACCAAATGCATTACAGCTTCAGCTAAACTTTACGGTAAATATTCAAATTGAACATTTCTGCCAGATCAGAAGCAAGGCATTATAGTATCAAGGACCATGGATGGAGACGTACCCCCCCCCCCCCCCCCACCCTCTCTCTTCTCTCTCTCCGATAGGCTTACTCGTCTCACAGTAGTCTTAGACGCCCGCCAGTATTTTGGTCCTCGGGCATACTATAACCTGTCCGGCGACGCCTGATACTTTGCCGATAAGCTGAGTTGGTGCAGTTCCTTTAAGCTTTCTTTACGAAACTTCAACATTTCATTTCAATGTACTTTTTTAAAATATTGGTCAAAACTTAAAATTGCTAGCATTTTTACGATTAGTGTTTATCAGAAGCTAATTTAGTAAGCGATAAACGCTAGAAGTAGGCCACCCGCAGAGACGTGTACATGTAGTGTATGGGAAAAAGATTCAAGCTGCCAACTGAGTGGGTGCGTGCTCTGTGTGTCATGTCTTCTGGCGGTATAGCTGGGCAAAATTTACCTTAGTTTGATTAGGATTAGGACCGTTCAACAGACAGTTATAATATAATAGCGGATGGAGACCAGGTATAAAGCCGCAAAATTTAATGCTACATACCATGTAGGTTACCGGTATGTCATTTTGTACACCGGCAAAACCTGGCGGTAATTGCGGGGTTGCCGGTATAACGGGGCGGAATGTCGAAGTTTGACTGTAGGCCTACGTGTAGTTTTTCTTAAGATACAAACATGTTAGTTTTTTTTCTTCTAGAATCTAATTAGAATGGATTCTTAGACATGTAAACTATAGAAAGAGTAACAAATACCCGTTGCACGGAAAAAGCG